GCAGTTGCAATGCTGGAGGCCGGGAATTAAAGGACCGGTCCCAAGCTGTGACACCAGTCCCAACCTGGCTACCCAAGAACCCAGATCAGTCCCCAGCTGTTTCTTCAATCAGTCCCAAGCTGTGATACCAGACAGTCCTTTGTTGTCTTGTACAACATTGATCAGTCGTTTCTCTCTTTAAAGATTTCAGTCCCAAGCTGTCTCTTCAAATTAAAGATGCCAGTCGGTGTCAGTTCCAAATTATCAAGATCACCCTCAGTCTCTGCACAAGTCGGCGTGGACACATGTTCGGCGATTCGGAGAAGATGCTTTTCCGGTGTTCAACCTACAGCCGAAGAAGCGTCAAGGCAGTGAACGAGACTTCGAGAGCCCGCCAATGGACCCGCTTGTTCAACCGTGGCTGGCACAGGCTATGACGGGCCTGCAAGGAGGTGTTCGGTCTGCATCCTCAGAGCTGGTCGTCTACGTCGCCAATTTGGTGGCGCAAGGAGTGGTGAGCTCTGCGAAGGTGACTTTTCTGATCCAGGCCCTACAGAGTGCGGCGGCCAACAATCCGAACAACTTTGTGGGAGTGGTGCTTTTGCCCAACCGAGCATGTGACGAGAGTTACTTGAACAGGAAGCCTGCAGCGACTCTTGTTGCAACAGAGAGTCAGAAAAGAGACACAGACAGACCGAGAGACAGGGAGAGAGTGAGTGAGTGGGCTTGTGAGTTGAGTGAGTGGGACTGAGCGAGCAGGTCATTCAATGATTGTGTTGTGCTTCGTCGGTTCATGTTGGAATAAGTGCTAATATAAGTTCCGAGGAAAGAGGAGCAGGACATCAAGGACGGCAAGGACGTCAAGGCCGAGACCCAGGAGAACGATGAAGCGGAGGAGGATGCCGAGAAGGCCATCGACGTGGAGGCCGTGACAGCTCTTCGAGACTTCAAGTACCAGCTCCAGGTCACGTTGCAGGAGCCGGCAAGACAGCTGTCGGTGAAACCCTTGACGCTCATCTTCGAGGAGGCAAGCATTTATGGGCAGCGGGCCGCCTGCCACGAAGCGTGGCTGGTGACGAGCTCCACTTCGACTGTCATGAGCCGAAAGAGCTTGTTCAAGCGTCTCATCGTGGAGAAGATTCCGATGTTGCCACGTGCTGTTGTTTGCCTGCATTTGGTAGCCATGTGCAAATGCTGCCTGAGTTCATATTTCGTTTCCTTGTCGGGGACTTCTGAGGACATGGTGAAAGTGTAAGTGGGCCGCAAGTTTTTGGGTGATACAAATCGCCTGTCCCGGACACAGGAACTTGGTTGCAATCACTCCGTGTTCGGTGAGACTTGTGATGACAGTCAGTGTTGAGGGCGCTGCTGTGATAATGTTTGTAGGTTGCATGCACATGAGGAGCAACGGCAGCACCTGGGTGGAACGGGGCTGATGAAGAAGATTCTGACGAGCCTCGAGATCTCCAAATCCAAGACTGTCGTCGTCGATTTGTTTGCCCATGATGGGTGGCTTCCCTTGGCATGTCTACAGCTCCACATGGACAAGTATTCGATTACATGTGGGTCCGTTGCTCACACGGAAATCGAGTACAAGTTCAGCAAGGAAAGGGATTCAGCTATTTTCTATCTTCGTTTGTGTCTGTATTTAAACCGCGGCTAAAACTTTGAAGTATCATTCCGTGTTGGAAAGAAATCTAGAGATTTGGAAAGGAGGTGATCCTCCATGACATCTTCGGCCGGGCCAAGTCGAAGCAACTTACCATTGCAGGCTTCCCTGATTTCACCGCAGCACTGGCTGACTTGACCAAGGTTCACACGGAAACCTCCCGGCCTGACTACGAGTACCTGGTGACCGTGCCTGTGGGTGGAGACCTTATCGTGCTTGCGGCTCTGATGTCCAAGTTCGAGAACTCGGTCTTTGCGGCTGACTTTGCGACTGCCCTGAAGAAGCACGATGAGGAGTTCAACAAGAAGCGGAAGAGGGCCAGTGTGGCAGATGCCCAGTCTGAGACTGAGAACCATCGAAGGAAGCGCGAGGCAAACACACCCAGGAAGCTCCCAAAGGCTTTCGAAGACGTGACCGCTTTCCGCGACAAACACAAGCAGCTTCTTGCTTGATTGCTTAATGGACGGGCAAAGGTGTGTTTGCTGTGCTTGGGGATTGGACGGTCTCTGGTTTAATTGATACGCTTGGGGTTGAACACCCCAGGCTCCTCGAATCCACGTGCGGTGACGTCAGCTTGTTTTACGACACGGACGAGAACTCGTTGTGGGTCGGGGCGGACAAAATCTGTGGCATCCCAGCCAAGGCGGAATGGCTGGGCTTCGGCTCTGGCAGCTTTCTCGACGGGGCTACGGCTAAGGATGTGCTATCCGATGCCGCTGGCCGATGGTTTCGATACTCCTTGGAGGGGCCTCTGGCAGATGTCTTTGCCATCTTCGAATTTGACAGAAAGCTTCCAGATGAAATCAAAGCCCTCTCCGTGTGGAACCAGGCTGGATGGTTTACCTTTATATGTAAGTAGTAAGTGCCACAACTATGAATGGTGGGATTCGAAGTTCACGATGTTTTTGTTCATGGGTTCTCGCACGGGTTCCATCTCCAACACATAAAGCAAATCCGTGCCCAACAAAACAGTCTGCAGTTTGAGTCTTGATTCATTTGCAGGCGGTGAGCTTGAAGGAGTTCATGGTGGCCATGGAGGACCAAGGCGAGATCGTGTCGTTCATGGGGCACGACAAGGAGAACGAGACCCTGAAGGTGAACGACAAAATCGTTTTCGTCATGGATGATGTGAAAGGCAGCCCCACGAAGAAACGGCGCATCTCGAAGGCACGGCTTAGAATTCCGCCCGCCCTCACCCCCTGCTGCATCAGGTATGTTTCGCCCGAATCCGGTTCAGCCTAAAGCCCCCTAACCCTAAGTGTTCACACTTTGCAGCAGGTTCGGCCTGTGGTTTTCGGTGCCTACATGGATGCTGTGAAGCTTCGTGCTGTTCGCCACCCGTTCAAGCTGGCATGGCGTGTGAGGCCTGCCAGTGCTCTTGCCAGCTACCGCCGTGAGTTGATAACTTCAGATTCAGCTTAAGATTCAAAGATGCACGCTGCCAGGATGAACAACAACCGCCAGATCACTCCATTGCGGCCTGTCTTGATCCACATGACTGAGCTGTCTGTCCAGCCCGGAGTTTTCCGAGCTCTCTGAGAGTTCTGGGCTCACACGAGCCTGCAGCGGGTCGGCAAGCCATCGGGGATAACCTGGGATGCTTGCTTTAAAGGGGGTCAAGACTCCAACAGGCATAGTGTGGCAAGGGAGGAATGGTTTCTGAAATCCTGGCATGTCATTGTGCTGGTGTTCCTGCACAGGGACCGAGTATTTAGTTTCAAGTTTTGCTAAGATAGCTCGTACTCTGGTAGTGGCATCGTGCAACAACTCTGAACTCGAACATGGACTTTGAACCATTCTTTCACTTGTCTGCCTGCGCGAGTCTTGCTCGGGTGCTGCGCCAGTAGGAACCAAGCCAGGGCCTATCGTCGGGTGAACCGACTTAGAGGAGTCCTGGTCTCTCTTTCTTGTTCTGGGCCTTCATGTGCTGTTGGGGGGGCCCGTGTTACAAGCTTCTGAAGAACAATGATTCTAGGATGCAGTACCAACCACTGGATGCCTAGGGCTTGAACTTTTGCTGTGCCGCCTGCCGGCGTCTCAAGGCAATCATTCGGCACACTGCTTCGTGACGACAAAATATTGACTCAGACCAAGCCGCCGTGGCACTCTGTCAGTTGCTGCCGTAGATGCAGATCTCTCCTGTGTTCTTTTCCATGAAGTGATACCGTGCGCATGTTGGGTTCTTTCGGAGCTTTCTGGGTTACAGGATAGAGCCGCTACGTGCAGCAGCCTGGGCCCTTAGTTTTCCAATCATGGATACGGTCAGCACCGAAACCTCCCCTTCTTTCAACTCGCCTCCCTTTTCTGTGGAAGCATATGAGAGTGACTTGCAGTCACTCAGTGCTGCTGCCAAAGAGGGGGAGGCACAAGCCAAACCGTCTGGACTTCGGAAACTCGAGCGGTTCGAAGTGAACAGCGACGGTGACGAGCCGGAGGAGACCGGCTCATGGGACCTAGAAATGGAGGAGGAGGAGGAAGAGGAAGAAGAAGGGGGTTCAAAGAAAAAGCCTGCCAAAAAGCAGCATCCCAAAAAGGGAGCAAAGAAAACTCAGAAGAAGAAGAAGCAAAGCGAGAGTGACGAGCCTGACAAGAAAGACAAGAAACGAAAGAAGGATGATGATGACGATGACATTGACTCTGACGAGGAGGTGCCCACGATGTTGTGCTCATGATGTCGTTTACGTGCCTGTAGATGAGACTAACTAGTGATGTCGACATGTCGCAGCACAGGCTCCGAAGCGAGGCCGCGGACGGCCCAAGAAGACTCGTCAGTCCAATGCCAAGGGCTCGTCGAAGCGCGGAGGATCGACGAAAGAAACGAGAAAGAAAAGCTCGAAGAAGAAGGGGAACAAGGGCGGCAAGCGACGGAGCACGGCCGGTGGTGGTGACCTCGAATCCCTGCTACAGAAGGCCCAGGCCCGCTTGTGCATTCTCTTCCTATGGGAACCATGTGAATCAGAAGTGAGCTGTTCAATGCATTACAATGTCCCGTTGCAACATGCTAGGATGCAGAACGGCGCTTTGGCTTCGGATTGGTGGCTGTTTCCTCGTCCGATAACGAGGATCCTTAATTATGCCTTGGAGCTGAACTTGAAAGACCCGGTAGTTAGCTAAATCTGGTGTAGTTTCTGATTCCCACATCAGGACGGCTCCTCGTCATCTGGCGGCACAGGATCGGGTGCATCTCGGCAGGCATGTACTTCATGTCAAGCAATGCCTCAGCTGTGAAGCCCATCCCACATAAAGGAAAACAACCAAACTAAACTACAACCCTAGGCAGGTTTCGGATATTTGGGAGTTCCAAGTGCACGTCCGTGTGTTCCCGAGTGACCCTCAGGCCCGATCTTTCGTTTCCATTCCATTTGAACTTTCCAGTTCTAGCTGCAATGATGCACTTGGGGTCTGGGCTGGGGTCAGGACTCCTCATGAAGCACGATAAAGATGTGCCGGAGGGTGTGCTTGCATGTCTGGGTCGGTATCTCTGTGTGTGTGTGCGCGGGTGTGTGTGTGTGTGTGTTTGTGTCTGCATGTAACCAACACTTCTTTACCGTCGGAAAAACCCAAGGCCCAGTCTTAAAGGAACTAAGGGTTTAAGGTCCCCGGGGTCCGAAGGTTCTGTTGAATTTGCTGATAGCAGGGGCACGGCTAGGACCAGCGCTTAGATTTTAATCCTCATAATAAAGCATGCTGCAGGTTCCAAAGACACCAGATCGGTGATGTGAATTTCGAACGGCCCTAAATCCTTGCGACAGCTCTGAGCACACACACTGCCCTCAAAGGTAGTTCAATCAAACCAGAGGCAGGCCCAAACCCCAGCACAGTAGAAGTTAGGTTCCGTGGGGGCCCGCTGCAAGCCAAGGAATCTCAATGTGCCCATGTCGACGAGCCGGTGGCTGGCACGGCTGCAGCTGCACAGCCTGCCACTTGCTTGATGTGTACGAAGGTTCCTACATCCATTCTCTTGATCGTCCCTGCAAGATTCCTTCCTCGATCCAGAATTGTCGCCATATGCACAACTCGTGCAATCCAAAGCTCACCGACCAGAACAAGTTACATTATGTTTCACACCCTGTTTCAGACCCTGGTCCTAATAGTCTACAAGTCTACAACATAGACATACCTGTGTGCACACCTCAATCGTGTTGGGTATGAAGTTCCGTGAACATTATATAACATACATTCAGGCATGTAGGAATCCCAAATTCTAAGCTTGATCTGTTTGTTTATACAGATGTCCAATGTACGAATATATATATATATATACACACACACAAACATACACACACACACACACATTTGTAGATGTAGAAATCTAGCATGCGCCCTGCACTCGACAATAAACCAGGTGCCTCCGCTTGGTGGCTGCTCGCAGGAGACGGTCTCCGCCTCTCCGACTCGAAATTGGATTTAATTGGTTGTGTTCTGAAAGACTTCATCGGGTTTCTCGGAAGGTAGAGGCTCTGAACCCCAAAGGCTTGTGAGCCCTCTGTGTAGTTCTATGAACTGAAACTCGTCCCGACATGTGCTCTTGGCATGTGTGTTTCTGTATGCCTGGCACCATCTGCTTCGAAGGCATTGTGAAGCGAAGCCGGCCTCAGGAGAAGTCTGAGATTTGTCCCTGCATGCCCTTACGAACCTGAATGAAGCCGCAAACCCAAGTAAACCCTGAATCCGGAAGCTACGGCCTTTAAACCAGGGAAGCCTGTGCCCACTGTGTTCGGGGTTGTGACTCCGAATAAAACCAGTTGTGTGTATTGCCTGTCTGCATCATTACATCATCTCTGTATCTCTCCCTCCCACTCCCTCTCCCCCTCTCTCTCCCTCTCTCTCGTTCCCTCTCCCTCTCCCTCTCCCTCTCCCTCTCCCTTCCTCTCTCTTGTCTGCCTGTCGCTTCACATAGCCTCTTCCCTTCTTCAGGACAGAAGGGATGGTTGAACGTGCGAGCGAGAGAGAGAGAGAGAGAGAGAGAGAGAGAGAGAGAGAGAGAGAGAGAGAGAGAATCTACATGTATGTATGTGTATATATATATACTGCAATAGTGGCAGAATGTGTTCAGGACGACGGGGTGTTGCTATTCTCTTAGTCTTCTTTTTAACTTTATTGGGATCGGCCATTTGAGACGATCAGGAATCGAACCTGTCTGTGAGTGTGACTGTGTGTGTGTGTGCCTCTACAGACTCTACAGCAGCCTCGCTGGGACTGTCGAGTTGAACGTAGGGTTTGTATTCATTCTTAAGTTTCTTTCCCAAACCTCCCGAGGGTCCGGATGTCGACAACCAGCCGCCGCCAGAGCGCAATCCTGTTGCTGGGCAAAAAATGGACCAGTCCTAGAAGTAAGTTGCCTTCTTCTGGAATCCGGGGTGAAGGCTGCATGTCTTGACTCTGGTCTGATGACGGCTGAAGTAGCCACCCTGCAGGAGGACCATTCCTATAAGTGTCGCTTGCACAGAACATAGGGTTTGGCTGCATTGGCGGTCGGTTTGCTTGCAGGACGGCACCCAGATTGAGACCCCGGCCTTGGAATCCCGCGATACTGTGCCCTGGCTTAGATCGATTAACATCTGCAATTGGGTATCAATGCTAAGTCTGCAAGAGTCGCGTGTCGAGTCTTTAACTTTTTGCTCCCCTAACGAGGAGATGAATGGCTTTGCGGCTGATGCTGGTGAAGCTACAGATCTTGTGCACGTCGCACAGGAGCACAGTAGTTACGAGCATACACATACCCTGGCAACATTACAAGCTTGGCCTAGCTCCCGATCTGTAGACGACTAGTCTCATGCATTGCCGACAAGCAACTGCAGGAGATCAAGGGCTCGTTGGCTGCTGCAGCAGGCGACCCAACGGAGCTTGCGGAGACCCTGCAGGAGTGAACGAGTCTTGTGTATACTTACACATGTTGTAGTGAGAACATTGAGAGACAGCTGACAGTCGTCATGCAAGTGTACATGTTTCCGTCGCTATCACTATTTCCCGAATCAATCTGAGCTTTACTTTAGGAATTGGGGTCTAGGGGTTAGGAACATCAAATGATAAGGTAGCTTAGAGTTCAAGCTTAAAGGAGTTCAGTTACTTGCCATCCCCGAGGGCCCCAAGTGCCCAACCCGCAGATTAGACTTAACTTAGACCATTTAACATCAACACTTTGACTCATACCAACAATTTGCCACAGGACGAGATTAAGGACTCGCAGGGGGAAGCAGCGGTTGAACCAAAAGAGCTTGCGCAGACCCAGCAGGACCGAACGAGTCACCAGCATTATGATGTGCAACTTTAGTCGACAGTTAGTGTTTGTCCCCGAGGAACTCGTCCCCGACCTAAAGACTAGACTTAGTAGTCCTAACACCTACCAAGAATCCGCCGCAGGATGGCTATCACCAGGAGATCAAGGACTCGCAGCGGGAAGCAACCATTGAACCAAAGGAGCTTGTGCAGACCCAGCAGGACCGAACGAGTCACCAGCAATATGATGTGCAACTATAAACGAAACTAGTGTTTGTCCGCGAGGCACTCGTCCCTGACCTATAGACTAGACTTAGACTTAGTAGTCTTAACTCCTACCAAGAATCCGCCGCCGCAGGATGGCTATCACCAGGAGATCAAGGACTCGCAGCGGGAAGCAACCGTTGAACCAGAGGAGCTTGTGCAGACCCGGCAGGACGAACGAGTCACCAGCATTATGATGTACTGCTTTACTCGAAGTTAGTGTTTGTCCAGAGGCACTCGTCCCCGACCTACAGACGAAAATTACACCACTTAGACTACTCAGTAGTCTAAACTCGTACCAAGAATCCGCCGCAGGATGGCTATCACCAGGAGATCAAGGACTCGCAGGGGGAAGCAACCGTTGAACCAAAAGAGCTTGCGCAGACCCAGCAGGACCGAACGAGTCGCCAGCATTATGATGTGCAACTTTAATCGACAGTTAGTGTTTGTCCCCGAGGAACTCGTCCCCGACCTACAGACTAGACTTAGCAGTCCTAACACCTACCAAGAATCCGCCGCAGGAGGGCTATCACCAGGAGATCAAGGACTCGCAGGAGGAAGCAACGGTTGAACCAGAGGAGCTTGTGCAGACCCAGCAGGACCGAACAAGTCACCAGCATTATCATCATGTACAACTGTTAACGAAGCTACTGTATGTGCCCGAGGTATTCAAGTCCAGAGTCCCCGACCTGTGACTAGACTTAGTGTACTTATCTTAGTAGTCTTACTTCAGCAACGCCTTACCAGCAATCCGCCGTAGGATAGCTATCACCAGGAGATCAAGGACTCGCAGACCGACGCAGTGGAGCTTGTGCAGACCCAGCAGGACCGAAATAGTCTCTAGTGTCGTGTACTAATATGCGAGAACTTGAGATCGTTCCCTGTAGTTGTAAATCAACAGTACCGGACTCCCTGCAAATCACAAGTCCAGATGTGCCCGAGACAAGTATCCGCAGGTCCAGGCGGAGATGAACAGCTCGTGGGGAAATGCAGTGCGCGAACCAATGGAGCCTCCGGAGAAGAACCTGAAGGAGAGAAGTAATTACAGTCTCGATCGAGTATATGTAGACATACGGCTACCATTAGCCTTTTGTTGAACACCCCCAATCTAGCTCCTACCCAAAAACTTCTGCAGGAGGATCCAGCCGGTGAAGCAAACGAGCCTGTGCCCACGCACACCCCGAAGGAG